CCATTTCTGTCTTGAAAGCTCTTGCATTCAGAGTTAGAGTTAATTCCTTCAGTTTATATGTTGATTTTTTATATGCTATTTTCCACACCGTATGCTAACGGTAAAAGTGATGCGGTATGTTTGGCTTCAAAATGTACAAAATGAAGGGCGAGGTCAGAGTGAATTACAACGACAAAATGAAATTAGTCATTTCAGAAGTGCCACAAAATGACATATGGTCATGTTCAAGTGACTGAGCCCAGAGATGGTTGTGGTAATTATGATGGGAGCAAAGGAGGAAATAAGGTGCCATTGTTGTACAGCTGCAAAGCCAGAGCATGGGGATGGAGGGTTGAGGTGGATGGGTGACTCAGCAAAAAACACAATTTTAACAAGATATACAACTGCTCATTTCCTGTTTCACACAGTCAGCAAAAGGGATCTAAAAGCTTCTTATTGTTATAGACCCAACAAGTTCTCCGACTAAATGGCGTCATTTATTTCTGCTATCTGAAATGACCCCATTAAAGGATACATTAGGGTGTGGGAGAGGTGACTCGGAGCTTGGAGTACGAGACTTTTTAAAAATGTTTTTACTTGCTATCGTTTATTTTCACTCCCTCCTTAGTTAAGTTGAACCACAGAGTTAAGAGTTAAATTCAACTCAAACCTTTCACATATCAAACATGCACTCATCAGTTTGCATGCCCACTTATGTTGCTTAATTGTAAACAAAAACAAGAGTGGGTTTTGTAGGTTGCAACTACAGCTTGCACAAGGAGGCGTTGTTTAAATGCATAAATTCTAACTTGCATACATTGAATCTGTGTATTTTTATTTTTACTGACAAATGGTTAAAATTGCCCTTCTTCCTCCCACATTGATGAATATGCATTTAACAAAGATATACTCAAGCTTATTTACAGAATACAGTATGTCTTCTACCACAGAAAGTTTTTTCTTAAGCTGCTTCCACACATATGGCTTTGAAGCTGACAGCTGGTCACTTTTCCAGGCATTGCAAGCTCTGGTACGCCTACTGTAGATAGCCCTCTAATATATTTACTACCAGGTAATGTGTCAATCAACAATAGCCTGCATTCTTGTTTATAGGCACTTCAAGTCCTCACTCTAAAGTTGGGAAAGGTTAAGGATCTGCCCACTTTGTATCTGTCTTGGTTATTTCACCTGTAGTTACTTGAAGTCACCCAGTGTCACTGACTTTCTAGGTCCTCTGATCACCAGTGCCAGTGTGGATGGAGCTTCAGTGTTTGTGCAGCATAGACCTCCCAAAAGAGTTTTCACTTTTGTGCAAATTACCTGTTGGGCTATGATTGACTTTCTAAAGCAACATTTTGCTTTACGCTTTAGTTACCAAGTGTTTTGATGGAAGACATTTTTTCACCATCACTGTGACAACTTTCCAGAGGTGTAAAAATTCTGTGTTTTGGCATCTAATAGGCCTTCACACCCAGGGATGTTTTTCTCAAACTGGACTTGCTGGATAATCTTCATGCCTCATTAGATGGGTACTCGAAGTAATGTATCCCAACCAATAAAAAACTGTGGTGGTTTGAAAGCAGGTTAATAGTGAGTCCACAGGTTAAGAGAAGCATGGTTCTGAGGTGGATGGCTGACCGTAAGGACACAGACATATTATAATCCAGTGTTCAAAGTCTGCTTTATTTTTATGTATGCTGCACATGCTTCCTTTTCCCAATTGATAGTTTGGGATCCTGGCCAAGTTAAGCAATGACTTCACACTGCACTGCTCTTCTGCAAAGCAATAGCATGATTCTCAGAAATCTGCTGGCACAAAAGACCAATTAATATGCATGTTGTTACTCAGATATTTATTACCACAGTAACATTGCCAGTTTATTAACGTTTTTCTGTCTTGTGTGCGTCTGAGGCCTCCAGCTTGGCCAAACTGGCCCTGAGATACAGCACCAGAACAGAACAGCTGGTTGTCAAGGGTGACAGTAACAGAACATTGCAGATAGATAGATAGATAGATAGATAGATAGATAGATAGATAGATAGATAGATAGATAGATAGATAGATAGATAGATAGATAGATAGATAGATAGA